CCCCCCCCCCCCTCCCCCTCGGCGCGAAACTTTCCTCGTTCACACTGGCGAAATAATTAGTCGCGTGCTGCTTCTACACGTGCATCAACAAATTTGCGGGTATCGATGACGTCACACGCGGAAAATGTCGAACAACGTGGCATACTAATGGCATAATTTACTGGATCCGCATTGAGCGATTAGGTCATATCGAAGCTTAAATTTCTATGAGGCGACAATAAACGAACAGTTGGTACGGACGCATTTTTTCACCTTTGAGATTGTGTGTATAAACTTACCACACGTGCAAGTAAATGTCGGAAAGGTGAAAAAGGTTTTTTTTAAGCAATATTAATATTTTTCGCACGAAAATTCCTTTTTCTGTCAATAAGCGAGGAATTGGAAATTTCAAGTCACAAGTGACGTTAACTGTCTCATCGTTCAAGCTTCTTCTGTCATTAACTTTCTGGCGAATGAAGGGTGACGATTCAAAAATTCTCTGAAGGTTGCTCCGGGGGATGTCAGCGACAACGTATGTCAAGATCATCGGATCCCTTAAAACGAGTAATTATCGCTAGCGGGATCCCCGCATGCGAGGAATATGAATCTCTTCCTCCGCGTGCGGAATATTTATCGCGCGGTTCGACGTGCTCCAATTGCGCCGCGCGCTTCTTGCGTCGCGTACCGAGACGATCCGGCGATGAGTAGCGCGTATAAGAACGAACGAGTTCGTCCGATCCTTTGATCATCGCGAAATGTTTCCCCGAACCTCCATCGTTAAGCAGCACCCGTCGAACTTCAGCGCGGTAATTAACTCTGTTAACTCGAAGTTAGCTGGCGAAAATATCGACCACTAAAACTCCACCTGACGAATACATTGTACTCCACTCTTAAGAGGATATTCTCATTTGAGACGTCGTTCTGTGATTTTTCGATGTTTTACTTGATAAAGCTATTAGACAAATAATTCGGAAGTTTTGTACAAATAACGTTTTAAATTATATATTATGTATTAACTATATGCAGTAATTTCAATATTATTATCTACGATATTGATAAAGTTTTAAAATAACATTTAATTGTTGAGGCTTTTAGATGAGTTATCAGGGGACGGTCATATCGAAAAAATAATCATCACGAGCGATCAACATAGGCGAGGTTCGATACTCGATATCGAGCGATAAAATATCGTAATACATTACGCGAAGTAGCCTATAAGAACACGGAACCGTCTTCTTATGATAGGCAAAGTACCGACACAAAGTATCGGCAGGTGAAGCATCGCTACAAAGTATCGATACTTGGCGTATCGATACTGTACCTCTCATATAGGGTTGCGGGCAAACTATCCGGAAACTAGCCGGACGATAAATGTTAATTCCGCGAGGCCCGTCGTTCACTTTTTCGCGCTTTCGCACGCTTTTACTTTCTTCAAGCGGCGCGCTGAATGGGACGCGCTTATTTTCGTCCTAATTTCGGTCCAGCGACGCCACGTGCGGCGTGGGTGTTTAATTAGCTCGGATGCCTTTCGAGCGGTTGTTGCTGGCGGATAATTGAAAGAAAAATGTCAGCAATCAGACGGGGGCGGCTTGTTGGACGGGGAGAAGCCGCGCAACAACGCGTAACGCAACAAGATCTGAACGTCGTTCCCCGGAAACGGATTTTCTCGTTAAAGAGACGCGGGATTCTTCGTGCGTTCGTGAAACTGCGATCGATGTAATACCGATTCAGCGTAACGGGCGTGATCAAAAGAGCCGGCGTAAACGGAAAACCGATCTTCCTCGTGGAATCGTCTCTCCCAACGGCGAGGAAATTACCCCCTTCTGGCTTTCCGCCGGCGGTCTCTTTAATCGCCACCACCGGGCTAAGTGAATTTTCCGTCGCTTTGTGCGTCGGTTCTCGCGGTATCCTAAGATAGAATATTATTGCCCAGCGAGAGTCCTCCGCGAAGAAAAATCAGTAAGAGCTCACCGCTCTGTCGGAACGAATCCCCGCGTTAAAGTCGAATGAATGTTCGCTCGTATTACGAAGCACTTACGAGGCACAATTTCTAATATTATTCTACTCATAACATGCGCTACCTCAATTTGTAAAATTCAAGCACACACGAGGCGGATTTTTGTATTCATAATTATACGCATCCGCGCACGCAAAACACGCAGGATCCATTCAAAGATTTCGAAGGAAAGGCGCGTCTACACGTGTAAAATATTGCGTTAAATATGATTCCGATTTTCTGGATGGATTTTTTCGTTCCTCGCGCGACGCAAAGCCGTTCGCAAAGACCTGCGAAAAAAAAACAATGCATCGAATATCGCGTTAAACGTAAT